GAATAAACCTTTTGGTTTATTGTTTGGTGTAACTTAGAAGTTTTTAAGCTTCGTGGCTTCACCGCTTGCTAGGCAGTGTTTTCAACTACTTGTGTCAACTCTGCCAGCCTGTTTTGGTGTTGGGTATTTCCAAGATAGGGTCTCTTGAACTATTTGCCTGACTGGCTTCAAACTGTGATCTTCCTGATCTCTGCCTCCTGAGAAGTAAGATTATAGGCCGAGCCACTCACACCTGACAATGAATAAACTTTTAAATGAAGAAACAAGTCACAGACACATCAGGGTGAAGATTGATTCCAGATTATTCATAAAGGAAATAGGCTTTCAATGTAATCAAATAAACTGTTTATAAAAATGTATGAAGTTTAACTCTCAAGTGGCAGTGATCTTAAAATTTTCTTTACCTAGGACCGACCAGAAGTGAATTGTCTATTACTGCCTCTTGTAGGAAGGTATATTTAGGGATATATTTTAAGTTTAAATCAATCCGTTCTGCTTGTCAGTAACTCTGATAAGGGATCTGGTGTTTTGAAGTGATGCTGTCAGTTAAATAGTGCTTTAATGTTTTCTGAGGCTTATTCTGAACTCTGTTCTCACTCATGAGCTATCGAGACTAAGAATAGCAGAGACAAAAACTTCAGGTAAATTAAGAAAAAGTAGTAAAAAGTAAGCAAAATGAAATTCAAGAATTATGAACAGTTAAAGAATAAATTCACAAAAAAACCAAAAGAAGCAAAAAATGAAAAAGACAAATTCAGACAATTTTGCAAGTTAATGGTAATTTACTTCTAACCACTTTATACATTTATTAGAATTCAGAATAAAACTATAATGGGAAATTCAGACACTTAAAATGTGTCCTTATTCAGTCCTAAAACATCTGGAGTCTGTGTGTTATAGAAACATAATCTCAAACCTTATTATTTTTATTACTTACCAGCTTTTGGTTTCACAAGCCCACAGCAAGAATAGTCTCACTAAGTCCATCAAAATAGGCAAAGGTCACCTCTGTCAATGATTGAAGAAAACATGTTATACATATAAAGAAAAAGTCTTATTTACAAAGAAATTTATTAATTAAATAAATTTACATGTAGAACATCAATGAAAATTAATGCAAGTAAACAAAACTAGCTCAGGACTAAGACCCAGGAACACAGAGCTGCCTAAGGCTAAGCATGAACTAGAAAAACAGAGAAAGCTGTGCTGCATTCTAAACATCTCCCTAACTGGGCTGAAAGCATCCATTGTCAAGTAAGATCAACCTATTGCTGGAACAGAGGCAAAAGTGTGGAGAGGACCCTCTCAGAAGGATGGGCTCAAGGGAAAGAACTAGCATGAAACAGGAACACTGTAAAAAAAATCTCCAGTAACCCAATCTGCTCCCTAAACACAAGGTTATTCTAAAACAATGTGAAACCTATAACTACAATAAATTGCAAATTCAACTAAACTCTCTGACTTGGATAAAGATATTTTCTCCCACAATTAAGGTCTACCTGCTATACACCTTAGCAAAAAGAGACATACCCATCTGTAAGGATGAATCCTATTTACTGTGGTATCTACTGTCTGACATACAATGTCTGGCTTTTAATAAAAATTATGAGTCACAAAAAAAAAGAAAAAGAAAAAAAGCAGCATGAAAAAGACTTCTACTCATCTGGCCAGAGCCCACCACTCTGTCTTTCAGTGTTTTCTTCCTGTCCATACTTTCTTTTTTCAATAAAATTACTACTGCTTGAAAAAAAAGTAATAACACCCAACAGTCAAAACAAAATAATCAACAAAACTAGACAGCGTGAGTGCTGAAGACTGAATGTTTATGTCTATCTCAAATTCATGTCAAATTCAAATTCTCAATCTGAGAGTATTTAGAGGTGGGAGTGAACTTTTCATGAATGGAATTAATGGCATTGTAAAAAAGAGACTCCAACAAGCTCTCTTCCTTCTTTTGCTATGTGAGGACAAGAAGAAAATATGGTAGTATGTGAACCAGAAAGTGCGCCATCACCAGATAACATATTTGCTGGAACCTTGATCTTGGACTTCCAGTCTTCAGAAATATAAAAAATAAATTTCTATTCTTTATAACCCATACAGTCTGTGATTTTGTAGTAATAGTTCACACTAGATAAAACAGCAAAATTGAACTGTTTGTTCTTTGTGAGTAGGGCCATGTTCATCTCATTCAGTACTATTCCTTGCAGAACAGCATGGAATATACGATAGCTGAATAAATATTTGTTAAATGAATATGTTAGATATTAATGAAAATGTAAAAATTTGGTCAAAGTGAAAAATTTTAAGTGGGATAGTTATTCTCACATTTAACTATTCTGCAATTTCGTTTGTTTTGGGTTTTCTCAAAGAGCTACATATGTCAAATAAAATTATTTATTCTTCTGCGTTTTTTTTTTGGAAGTACTGGGGCTTGAACTCAGTGCCTCAAGCTTGCTAGGTAGGTGCTCTACCACTTGGGCTACTCTACCAGTCTTGTTTTGTGTTGGTTATTTTTGAGATAAGATCTCATGAACTATTTGCCAGGGCTGGCTTCAGACCTCGATCCTCCTGATCTCTACTTCCTGAGTAGCTAGGATTACAGGCATGAGCCACTGGTGCTTGGCTAAATTACTTATCCTTTAGTATAAAAATGAGTATGTCATGGTAACAACAAACGGAGGTAACACTCAGGGTACAAAAGGAGCAATCATACATCACTTCTGTTATAACTGTAACATTTCAACAATAAAAACAGCTATCGAAACCAAAGTTAAAAATTGGTTATACTGGCTTTACAAATATCAAGTTGTCAGATAGTTTCAATTTTGATCCAATGATACAGTATTTTTCTATGTGAGTGCATGCATGCCTGTTCCTGTTCCTGAGAGAACATTCATAATTCTCAAACTCTTGGGCAAGAGTAAACATTTAACTATATGGGCCTTCCTATGGTTATTATGCAACTCATTTAAGGATAATATGATGTAGAAGTTAAGTAAAACAAATTTACCTCTAAAAAACCAGAGGGATATTACTAGATTGATGTACTCTATTTAAGCAGGATTGCCTTGGCTTTCACTTACTCTATTCTATACACTTAATTTATACACAAGGCCAAAACCACAAAATAACAACAAAACTATTAAGTCACCAATAAATTATCCGATGCTCACGCCATGGAAATGTAAGAAACACAGAGGTCTTTAAAAATATCAAATCATCTTTACTATAGAACAAGAGTTTGAGACCTAGACCTCTCAATAGTACTTCAGGTTGGGGATATGGCTCAGTGGTAGAATGATTGCTTAGCATTCCCAAGGCCCTGGACTGGATCCCTACCATCACTAAATAAATAAGAGTAGTACTTAGACTTTCAAACTTGTTAACCTGTGGCTTCTTGGGCTTAACTCATTATTAAAACAGTATTTACCCTTTAACATCCACAGATGACTGATACACACATTGAGAAACACTGACCTAGACATTAGATTAATGAAAGACAAACTAGGCAGCTTCCAATAAATAGCTAGCTTCAGTAAGCAATAAAAATTATCTGAATTCAAATCACACCAAAGCAAACCAGCCTTAAATACATACCCATCCTCATAGTTCCACATGAATATGTCACTGTCAATCGTGAGCCAAGCTCTGCTGATAGGAGGGAATACACCCATCATGCAATTACATTGCATATCTGAGGAAGTATGGATGTAAGGTAGAAAGAGTTCAATTTCATTTTTCTTAATCTTGTTTGAGCTTTTGATTTAAAAGTTATTTAAAAATCATGATCTGGGGGCTGGAGGTGTAGCTCAACAATGGCAGAGTTCTAGCTTACATGTATCAGGCCCTGGGTTAGATGCTCAGCACTGCAAAAAAAATAAAATAAATCATGATCTACCTTTTTTTCCCTTTTTTCTCTTAACAGGGTCTTGTTACGTTCTCAGGCTGGCCTCAAACTCATGATCCTCCCAAGTGCTGGAACTATAGGAATATACCACAATGCCTAGCTTGTTGCTTGTTTTTTTTGTTTTTGGCAGCACTGGGGTTTGAACTCAGGACCTCACATTTGCTAGGCAGGTGCTCTACCATTTGGGCTATTCTGTCAGCCCTTTTTTGTTTTGGGTATTTTTGAAATAGGGTCTTTGGAACAAGTATTTGACCTTGCTGGCTTCTCACTCCTCCCAATCTCAGCCTCACAAGTAGTTAGGATTACAGGCATGAGCCAACGATGCCCGGCTGTTCACTGTTTAATAATTAAGAGTAAACTACTCATGTACTTAAACATATTTTAAATAAGACGTGAATTTATAGACAATATTTAATTAAGCAAAAATAAGAATTACAATGAAAATGCCAATTTTAGCATTTATCAAGTAGTTAAATATAAAGTAACAGGATACGTCCAAACTGTTCCACAAGTTCAGGTGGTAGAGGAACTCTTCGGATGGAACTGATCTCTGGAAGGTTGGGTACTGACAGCAAACCAGGTCCTTGTAGAGGATAATCCATATCTGACATGCCTGAAACAGTTGGATTATCTACAAAAAATAAAACGAAGAATTTATTTATAAAAAATTTATTTATAAAATTAATATAACTCTCATCAACTGAATACATGGAAGCAATTTTTTTGTCTTTTTGGTGGTACTGGGGTTTGAACTCAGGGCACTTACTTAGCAGGTGCTCTACCACCTGAGCCATCCCCCTAGCCCCCTATATAGAAACATTTTAAGGCATAAAAAAAATTGTGCATGTGGTAGTCCTGAAGGTACAAAGAGAATAAAGGATTTCTAATCTGACACAAACCAGTTACTAGTTTCAATCCTCACTGGAATGTTATTGTTAGTTAGCTATTCACCATTATGACTAAAATATCTGAGAGAACAACTTAAGGGAAGAAGGATTTATTTTGGCTCACAACTTTCAGAGGTTTCAGTTCACAATCCTGTGTGTTAGATAAAACTTTGTGGTAGCTAGAGGCTGGGGTGGAGGAGCTTTTTCACAGAGGGCAGGAAGCAGAGAGACAGAGGAATATAGAAGAATTCAGAGCACATATATCCCACAAGCATATACCCCAATAATTTACTTCCTCTAACTAGACCCCATTTTCTACCTTTTATTACCTCCCATTAATGCCATAATGTATGAATCCATAAAGGGATTAATCCATTCATTAGGTCAGAGCCCTCATAATTTAATTTTCTCTGGAAACACCATCAAAGACATACCCACGAGTGTGCCCTGCTAATCTAGGCATTTCTTAATCCAATCAGGCTGATGATCAAATACCACACAACCATCATCAAACACAACCATCATAGTTATATTTCACAAAGACTTCAATAAGAAAGGAAATGTTTAGTTTAATAACTTACTGGGGAATTTATTATTATTATTTTACTACCCTGAAACAGGAAAATATTTATAAAACCACACTGGGATTCAAACATAAAGCAACTATGAGGGCAGGGCCCCAGTGGCTCATAACTGTAATCCTAGCTACTCCAGAGGCAGAGATCAGAAGGATCACAGTTCAAAGCCAGCCCAGGCAAATAGTTCCCAAGATCCTATCTCGAAAATACTCAATACAAAACAGTGCTGGTGGAGTGGGGTTCAAGTAGTAGAGGACCTGCCTAGCAGGACTGAGTTGCTGAGTTCAAACCACAGTACTGCAAAAAAACCAAACCAAACCAAACCGAAACAAAAAACCCTTTGAGTGTGTGTGATACTGGGAAATGAATTCAGGATCTCCCATTTCTAAGCAAGTGTTTTACCACTTGAGCAATGCTCCCAGTCCTTTTGCTTTTTAGTTTGTTTTTCAGGTATGGTGTCTCGTTAACTTTTTCCTGCCTTGGAACTGTTATCCTTCTGTCTCCACCTCCAAAGCAGCTGGGATTACAGGCATGTATCTCTATGAACAGATCTGCTTTTCTACTTTAAATGTTTATAGATTAAACAACTCATGACTTTCCCTTTTAGATTTCTCCCACAGACCAATATACCAAATACAAATAACACTACACAAGCAATATCTCATTGGGAACAAAACCATGAATTGCTTTCTATAGTTTGCTTTACCGTCCGGTCCATTAGCACTGATTTCTCTGCTCTCCTCGTGTAGATCTTTTAACGCCTCCCGGAATTCCTATCACACTAACTCTACAAATAATAAAGCATATTTGAGAGAACATGATAGATTTCCAACTTCTTTGGCTCTCTAAATTTACTCATGTATTAATACAAGAAATAATAATGATGGAGCTTGGATCAGAAAACCCTTCTCATTTGCCCTTATGCTAAATACTTGACAGCAGTGAGAGGTTCATTAGGGTTGAGTCTTTGCCTCTCTTGCGAATGTGAATCTGCTCTTCATCCTTGCTCTAACATCTACAATGAAGAAAATGACAGGAAAAAAACAGCGAAAAGAGGCTGTTAGCTCTTCTTTAAAATGCAGCAAACAGCGCCCTAAGTCTCAGCATATCCAAGCTAAGGACCAAGCTGGAGAATCAGGCAAGAGTCCTTTTACCCGAGAAAGCAGGGGCACCCGAGAAAGCAGGGGCACCAAATGGGCTACGATCACTTACTTGGGGCTGACACCATGAGCAGTTCGGAAAGGTCCGGGTACATGCGGTCTTCTTGCAACTGACGGTCGATAAGCCGCCCGGCATTTTCCAAAGCTTCCTGCAGGGTTGCGGCAGACGTAGAAGCCGGCATCACCGTGCCCAGCAAAGACGGCATCTCGAAAATCGCAGACGCCAGGGTCCAGAAATAGTCAACACCTAAGAATAAACGTGAGAAAACCCAACAAGCTAGGTTAAATCCACTGGCTAGGGCGCGCGCGCCAAACGAGCGCTCCGGCGCCTCGTCATGACGCACTTCCGGATCCTCATCATGACGCACTTCCGGATCTTTCTGCGGGGAACTGGAAGACGCCGTTTTGGAGCAGGGAACAGGAAGTTGCTGCAGGGCTGGACGTTGGGGGTGGGGCGAGGGGGCGGGAGGCAGTTTCGAGGGAAGGAGGTGAGGATCGTGGGATGAAGGAGTGTAAAGTTAAAAGAGGTCGTCCCAAGAAGTGAGGAAAGGAAGGGGAAAAGGGAGGGAGTGAGGAAGGAGAGGGGCGGTTAGGATGAGGAAGTGGGGGAATCGGGGGGAGGGAGAATCGGGAAGTGGGAGCCGGGTAGTGCTGTACGCAGAGGGCTGGGTGGTTTTCACCGCGTGCTATGTCCTTGGCCTCGAGCTTCTCAAGTTGGAATCCCTCTAAGGCAACAGTTAAAGCATCAGTTACATTGGCGCGCGGACTAACTTCCAAGGGTAGTTAGGAATTGGTAGTTTGTTAAACAGGTTACAGGGGACCCAAAAATTCACAGTTCTCCACGAACAGCGTATTAAATGAGAATTAAACTCTATTTGTGTTTCTCTGTCGTTGGCTTTGGGACCCGTTTTTGTGAAAAATTATGTGTTTCAAGGTATTTGCAGCATACAGGTGGGGCACTGTGTGTGTTGTGGGGGGTGTTCCCCATTGCATAGAGGGGGGAGAATTCTAGTTCATCCTTTTATCCCCAGCAAATAGTACAGAGATTGGTATAATGTAAGCACCCAATAGATCATCTTGTTCTTTTTGGAAGTTGAGTATCTACTTGTGTTTGGCGTCATGTCTGGTGCTGGAAATATCTTAACACATTTCTCTCAAGGTGCTTCATTGAAAAGACAGACAAAGCAAGTGCATCACTAGGGCTTGGTGTGGAAGCTACAACCAAGCCCAGGCTACGCAATGAGGTCCTGTCTCAAAAACTAAAGGAAATTTAAAAATATAATTCATCTTATTTTTTCCCAATGGAATATGCATAAACATAAGTAGAAGGATAAGAGGAACAAGGGGAGGCAAGAAAGGATTCGTTTTCTATGGAAGGCAACTTGAGCCAGTAAATCAAGGCATATATCTTCAAAACTCACCTAGGATTCAGAATGTCACCTAAGTGAAATTCATCCACTTCTTTGTAATTTAGCAAATCAATAGTGAATTACCCTACATTAGCCTTTTGCCATTTGAACTTTTTCTCCCTAAAACAAAGGCTTGTCTACATTTCTAAATGTTAAAAGTTTTGTGACATTACTAATCTATACACTTAGAATTTGACTTCATGGCAAGTATACGGTAGTCCTCCCTTATTTGAGAAAGATAGTTGCAAGCACCCCAGTAAATGCTTGAAACTACAGGTAATATCAAACCCTATATAAACTTAATAATTTAGGCACAGTAAGAGATAACACCAAGCTAGGTGCCAGTGGCACAACCTGTAATCCTAACTACTTAGGAGGCAGAGATCAGGAGGATCACAGTTCAAAGCCAGTCCCAGAGAAAGAGTTCGAGGCCCTATCTTGAAAAAACACCCATCACAAAAAAAAAAAGGGGCTGGCAGAGTGGCTCACGGTGTAGGCCCTGAGTTCAAATCCCAAAGGAAAAAAAGATAACAATATTAACATAAAACAATTACAACAATATACTGTAATAAAAACTGCTTAGGGGGTCATTTTTTGGCAGAACTGGTATTTGAACTCAGGACCTCACACTTTCTAGGTAAGCACTCTACCACTTGAGCCACTCTGTGAGCAGGGGTCATTATTAAGTAAAATAAGGGTTAATTGAACACAATTACTCTGACACCTTGATAGCATATACAGTGTGGATAAGCTGGACAAAGGGCAGGACAATAAGGATGCCACAAGATTCCATTGCACTCCTCAAAACAACACCCAATTTCAAACATGACTTGTGTGTTTCTGGAGTTTTCCATTTGATTTTTTTTTTTTGGACTATATTGACCCAGGGGTAACTGAAACTTCATGTAGTAGCTACTTTTGTGAAAAACAAAGGGGTAATGGGTAATTGTTTATTTTGGATGACAGTTTCAGAGATTTCAGTCCATAATCCTTGGCCCCATTGATTCTGTGCTTGTGGTGAGGCAGAACATCATAGCAGCAGACATGTGGAAAAGGAGGCTGGTCACTTCACCTTGGACAGGAAGCAGAAAGAAAGGAAGGGACTGAGGCCCATTTATAATTTTCATAGGCATGTCCCCAGTGACCTTTCCTCCAACTGGACCCCAGCTGAAATTTCCAGAAACTCCTAAAATAGTGCTCCCAGTTAGGGACCAAGATTTCAACACACAAGTCCATGGAGTATATTTCATATTCAAACTATAACTCTGCAAAGAAAGAAACAAGATAAAGGGGTCTACTGTACCAGGAAAAAGATAGAATTTTTATTACTGTTGTACAAACAGTTTGGTATCCAGCTGTAGATTTTGAATTTGGTAGATCACAGGTAGAAATATGATGGCCTGGAATAGTTTTTCAACTCTACAAATTGGATGATCTAGCATTGTGGTCTAATATTTCTTCACAGCGACATGGTTCTCAGGGGTCTAATCCAACCACTGCTATTTATTGCATGTTGTCTGTGGCTGCTTTCCCACCATAACTGCTGAACTGAGTACAAAAACAAAGCTGCAAAACTTAAAATATTTACTGTCTGGCCCTTTATAGGAAAAGTGCTGACCTCTCAAACATAGACTAAAACTTTCTGGTCTTAGGACCTCTTGATTCCCTTGAAAAGTACTCAGAATTCCTAAGAGGTTTTGTTTTGCATGTGTTATTTTTATCAGTATTTGTTAATAATTAAAAAAATTGTTGAACTCATTTACAAGTACAACAAACCAAATTCATGTTAATGTAAATGATACATTTTATGAGAAATCAGTAGGTTTTCTAAAAGTAGTGTCCTGAGTGTGACGCCACACACTTGTAATCCCAGTGCTCTCGAGGTTGAGGCAGGAGGCTGAGTTGCTATGAGTATGGACTGCATAGCAAGTCACTGTGTCAAAAACAAACACAAACACTAATGAGAATAGTGGCATTAATTCATATTTTTGCAAATATCTTTAATGTGTGGCTTACTGACAGATGGATTCTCTTATCTGTATCCACTATCAATTTGTTGTAACATGTTGTTTAGTTGAAGTATATAAAGAAAAGCTAGCCTTGGTTACATTGCTTGTAAATGAAGAGTATCTTGGGGGAGATATTTTATTTATTTATTTATTTATTGGGGGGGATATTTTAATACCCCTTTTAGACATTAGTGAATATTGTTCTTTGTACTGTACCAAAACCTGTAAAAGTGGTGTTTCTTTTTTTCTTTTGAGTCAGAATCTTTTCATAACAGCTCAGGCTGGTTTAGAACTCACTTTGTAGCCAAGGCTAGTTTTGAACTCAAGATCCTCCTGCCTCCATCTGCCGAGTTCTAGAATTAGAGTAATGCACCATCATGCCTGATCCACAAGTGGTAGTTTCCTAGTTATAAAGTGGAATTTGAAACATCAGTGTATTTTTTTTTTTTTACCATGCTGTTGGAGATCAAACTCAGGGCCTCTTATATGCTAGCAAGCACTCTACAACTGAGCTACACTCCTGGCCTGTAAGTGGATTTTTTTTGTGCTTTGTTAAATTAAAATCCATGTGTCTTACCATTTACTTTGAATCAATCTTTTATCCTTGCATGTTTCTGTAACATGTTTGTCATTTGGGAGATATTGATTCACTAAGTTATGTAGAACTTCCAATGTTCACATATTTAATTAGCAAATAGAAAAAATTAACATGTTAATATCATCTGTCTCATCACTTTAAATATTGAGAAACTGTCAAACTTATGGTGACTGTTACACGTTTTTGAACGTTCCAATTTTCTCTTGAAAACTCAAATTCTGTATTTTGCAATAAGTATAGTTTTTTTTCTCATGAAGTGATAAAAGTTTTTCCATTCATTTCAAGAAAATATTTGCCAAGTACATATATATCTGAATAACTGTTTGTAAGTCACCATAACAATAATAAGTGTTTCATGAAAACTCTAACAACCCAATTTTAAGTATTTTTCTTCTAGATAACCATCTACTTTGATATGTATCAGAAGTGCTTTATGTGTACATCTGCCACATAAAGTATTTTACCACCAGAATATTAGGAATACATATACTCAAGGGTCACGATTTATAGTGGCTTTTGTTTGTAGTGGGTATGTAATGTAAATGATTATACTGAGTATTACATTTGCTTGCCACTGCCTTGATTTATGTTGAGGCTCTGGCAGTTTTACTCTGTTGAAATGATTAATTGGAAGGCCAGTAGACTGAGCCAGCTCCAGTGCCCTGTTTTGTTTTTTTTTGGTGGTGGTACTTGGGCTTGAACTCAGGGATTGGCACTTGCAAAATGGGTTCTACACCATGTGACCCACACCTCAACTCCATTTTGCTGTGGTTATTTTGGAAATGGGGTCTTGTGAACTATTTTCCTGGGCTGGTCCCACACTCTATCCTTCCACTCTCAGCCTTTCAATTAGTTATGATTATAGATGTGAACCTCTCTGTGCCTGGTCTGCCCTGGGTTCTAACACAAGCAGACCAAAATCCAGTTCAGTACAGTTATATTCTGCACCAATCAGAAACTGTGAAGTAACCACTAAATGGAGAATACTTAAACTACTTAAACCAACCAGAAACTGCCAACTAACTGAAGTACTTTCCACTGGAATGATCTAAATAAGGCTACTGTTAAACTTTAACAAATCAATATTTTCTTTGCTCTGGTTCTGTATTCATCCTATGAAAGCCTTCTCACCTGGTGCTGGTGGCTCACACCTGTAATCCTAGCTATTTGGAGGCTGAGATCAGGAGGATGGCAGTTCGATGTAAGTCTGGGCAAAGAGTTCATGAGACCCCACCTACTTTAGTACATCCCTGTTTATCTTTACTCAGAAAAGAGGCATTGGCATTAATAACTTAT